TTGATGGCGTTCAGACACCACTTCTTCGCGGCCAACGACCGCCAACTCATTGACGCCAATTGGGAGCGAAGACGTGGTGTCCGCACCACTGACCTCATGGGACGCCTACTGTACTACCATTTGCCTAATCTTACCGATTATCACATCATATACTACTACACACCGCTCACCACCACCACCACTACCACCGATGACGATGACCAGCACTACTGTCACACGTCGACCACCGACTGGAACCGTACGTCCAAAGTGGTGGACAGTCACCGGTGTGTCTGCGTTGAGAGCTATGGGGGCGCCGACTGTGGCATACCATCGGTGGTCTCCGATTCGCTGCAACGGTTACCACACTTTGACACAAACACTCGCCTCACGAGGCTATCAAAGCCCAAACGTCTGGTATTATCTGTGATACTCTATACGAATGGACACCAATTGGACGTTCAGTACATTAATAATACACTCAAAAGTCTCTCGCATTTTGTCGATTTATTTATCATAACGAAAATCAATTTAATTGACTCCCAGTCCGGACAGGGAGTCAAATGTGGGCCAAATGTGGACCAGAATTGCGCCGATAATGAGCGGAGTTGGGATCAACTGAAAGACACGATCACATCCAAAGCCAATAAGTACTCGGAGATAGTGTTGTATTCTGTGGTCAATGTGACGACAAACCAATTGCTGCGAATCGGCGCTAATGGTCTCCATTTGTATGTCATGTCCAAAGTGTGGGCCACATCCATACGACAGGTGACCGACTTCCGACCCAACGATCTGCTCATCTATATGTCGGTCAACACATTCCCGCTCCAGAAGATTGTCATGTTTTTCAAACACTACACGGGTTTCCCGGAACCAATCAAACTCATCACGTATTCTCACCAAAACAGTTCAAATGATTTGTTAGCGAAGTCTCACTTGTTTTCTACACAATTCACAAACCCTTTGGTGGCAAACAATAACAGTTTAGTCAATATTGCGGTCACTTTTGAGTATTTGTCACTATTATGCAGATATGAGTTCTCGTTATTTAAAACTGATTTATGTATTGATAATGACATGAAAGTTAAGAAGTTTAATGAGACGTATTGGCCCATCAAATACTGGTCTATCGGTGCTCACGAACCCAACTGTTCGGCAAATGTATTACTCCCCCATTTGTGACCATTTATTTAATGCCTAAATACAGTAGTTATTATTATATTTGACAAATCTCAGCCATGTTTAATAAATACCTGTATATCTGCAATCATTGGTTGACTCGTTTTCTCGGATATAATGTTACGTTTATTAAATAAATTGTTTTAATATATAATACTTAAATCAATATTAAATTTTATTGATAGTTATACTTAAGAAATTATTTTAATCTGATTTTACTCTATGATGTTTACTGTACTTACTTTTTATATGAATTATTCTCATAGACTATCGTAAATAGTATGCTTACGTTTCCTTATTAAGTTTATATTTAAATTCAGATTCTAGTCATTTAATTATCAATTTAATAGGAAATACTGTTATATTTCTTACTTTTACTTAATTTCGATGCATAAGAAGCCAAATGAATGAAATGATTATTTGTTTTTTAAAAATAAACGCCAATAAATTGAAATTCAAATTTAACAACGAATGTATTATTAATATTTCTAACTATAACTAACTTACAGTATAATACAATTGTTTGCTTGTTTTGTTTTTAATCAATTATATAATAATAAGAATAATAAAAATAATAATAATTAGTTATAATTATAATTTTCAATAATTGTAATAATAATAAATAGTATAATATTATATAATTATTATTCAATATTTTGTTTGTTTTTTAAAGACTATCTGTATTCAGACATACAATTACCTCCGCAAACGGTATACATTTGTTAATATATATATAATTTTTTTTCATGTAATTTGAAGTAAAAATGTCTAGAATTTACATAATGTATAATCAAATTTTACAATTATTTTTGTCCCAAAATTCTTGATAATAATTTTCATTTTAATAATAATTTTTTATTATTAATAATTTCAATAATAAGTTAAGTTCAGAGAATTAATAATCATTTTATTTATAACATTGTTTTTTGTATTAATTTTTCGTGTGATTTTATATATAATTATTCTGTATTTATAGATGAATGAAGTTTTTGTTTTGGAAAAAGATTTTTGTAATGTATAACAGAAAACATTAAATAAAATTTTGTGTTCAAAATTTTTGTTTTTACACAGAATCAATAAAAGTATTTCACAATTATATGTTTGTTTAAGTCTTTTCAATCAAAAAATTGTTTAGATATTTATATGTATATTAAAGTTATATGAAAGGAATAGTATCTCAAATGCAGGGGCTCTTTGCGAATGAAACACTTTTCAATTCATTTAGGTTTTCAATATTCATGTTATTCTCATGAATATCTCAAAATATTATTAACATTTAGCTTTCATTATTATTATTATTATTATTAATCTTTGTGTTTCTTATATAAAGATTTTGAATGATATTTCATTTTCTTCGTTATGATCGGACGATAAATGTATTCATTTTTTTAATAATAATTATGTTTCATTAGTGTAATGACTCATTAAAGCAAGTCATTACAGTACATTTGAATCTAATAAATAGCTCATTTTATTAGTGTTTTATTAAACCTTTGTTTTTTGTCTCAAATGATTACTCAAATTGTTAGCATAGTTTGTATATAATAATAAGCAAACCATTAGAACTTCAAGCAAACCAACGATTCTTAATAATAGCGAATCAATTGAGTTATAAGTTATTTAAATGTTTTTTGTTTGCGAATCAATTTTATTCGCAAATGTATATAAATTTTTGTCGTTTGATATATTGTCTGCTTGCACTCAATATTTGAATGATTATATCAATTAAATTCTTTGCGTAATCAAAAATATAAATATAAATAAAAATCTTTTTAAAAGTCTCGGAAATGTTTTTTGTTGTTGATAATTTATAATCATTTTGTTTTATTTTTAGATTTGAGATTAAGATTGTTTGACTTGAAGACTAACACTGATAACAGTTCAATAATATAATTGGCATTTAATGTATTGATACAATAATCATAATAATAAAATAATAAAAATTTTGGCAAACATTTGATATATAATATATTTTTCAGTAAAACTCTAGTCCTTTAATGAACTCAATCTTTATTCACATAAATATTCAGTATAAGTCATACCCTTATTATGAATATATTCTGTTATTTAATCCAAAAAACAGTCGGAATTCTTATTTTCGCTTAAACTCTATATTCCTATCACTAAATCTCGACATTTGTATCGCTTTTCTGTTGGGAATTAAAATTTAGTATTTATTTCCCATTTTTATTGGTTTCCATATACTCGGAGACAAATAATTGTCAAACAAAAAATATATAAAAACATAGAAAACATTGTTTTATGAGAGAGTTTGTCGTTATAAATGAATCGTTGATAATATCAAACGAAATGTTTCCGAAATAAAAAATGCGAAAAACGGGAAAAAATAATATTTTGTTTGTTTATGTATTCCTAATAACTATAGACTTCATTCATCGGACTTTTCGGTGATTGAAGTCTTTTCTGATGATATAATATCTGATTTAGACTTTTCCGATGATGTGAGGGATGGCTCAGTGTTTCGTCGCTTCATTTTGGACTTCCTAAGCATAGTTGCCTATATGTACAGAGCACCGACACGTTAGCACATACATCACATTCATAAATTCTTAATTAAGTAGGAGCTTAAAATAGTTTTTTCACTTAAACCTAATTATTTATTCTTAAGATATATAACTTATTAAATGATTAGTATTAAGTGAACTCATCTGACCTTTAGGGCTGACTTTAGTATAACAACTTCACCGGGTGTTTGAATCCATGGCTCGCCGTCCACCTGCACCGGCATATCAGTGTTCAATCGGATCCTAATCTGTATTTTCATATAAAATTCTTGTTGTAAAATAATATTCTCTAAAATAACTTTAAATGTATAACAATCTCTGTCAATGTATATAAGAATATTAATATCGATACTAAATAAAGTGATCTATACATACATGGCCTCCCTGTGCAATCCGAATGCCATTCCTAATACCACTTTGTATTTGGCCCATATGGACAACACCATTAACGCCCACTACTTCTAACATACCGTCGTAATGGTTAGGCCGCGAGAATTGATCGTCTTTTTCAACCCCCCATGGATTGGCACCGGACCCCCAACTGGTTTGACAGACAGACGTTCAGTCATTAATGCCTGTCTCTTCAATATTTAAATAGCAATCAATTTCGTATAAATACCTCAATATGTTTAATATAATGATGCCCTCGACGGTCGGCAAATTAACGACCTTTCCGTCCACTTCGAGTCGGATCTCTTTATGCAAGTCTTTCCACACCTTCCGACTCACCATCTTCTTGAGCGCAGTCTTCACATACACTCCTTTGTTATGCAATCTTTGGGCAATGAGATCACAATTATCATTAATATCATCTCAAATCGCTTATTAAAATATACGGTAAAACTATTCTCACACTAAATATTTAAAAATTGTTTTGTTTCGCAAACTATTTATAAATCATAAGAATTTTTATGAAAGGTTAACGGGATTTATATTGTGATAAATATTTATAATGAAAGCCTAATCTCTCTTTCAAACTCTCGTCACAACAAAATGCATTCATATCTAAGATTTTGAAACTTTAATCGATTTATTTGTATATGAATTATGAATATAAGAGACACAACACGACAGACAGCGAAGGGAGTGATTGATTACCTGCTGTTAAACTTATCGGGATTTTCTTCGCGCGCGTTATGGAAACTAAGACAGAGATCGGCGTCTATTCCGAGTCCGAAGTAGTTGTTCATCACAAAGATAGCCGTATTGTCTTCCGATGTGGAGCCGGAACTGTTGGCCGGGAGGCCGGGCTTCTCCTCCATCTGTTTGGTGGCCTCATCCGAGTGGAACACAACTGTCCACCGGTCTAACCGGATCTCTTCGGCGTCGATCACGTCCTTTAGCACAGAGACCGGGTCCTCTTGACCGGTATAGCCCGGACCCCAACGCAGAACTCGCGCCAAGTCGTTGCCCGTGCCCAGTGGGACGATAGCACAGGGAGGCGATTGGCACTCGGAATCCTGGCCCACGTTATCCAGACATTGAAGAACCTGATGGTTGCCATTAAAATATATGAATTAATAAAATGCCTAATTTTAAGAATATTCTATCCATTCACTAATTAATTCAAATAATTATAAATAACAAGAGTATTCATATATTTGTTTGCAATTTTATATAACAAAGTCATCGCTTACCCAACCGACCGTTCCGTCCCCTCCGCAGACTAATATCTTATAGTCTTTAATATGTCGACAAACATATAAACTACAAAC